CATTTAATAACAAAATAATCATTTTGACATAAATTTTATTTATCTAGAATAAATTACAAAATAAATATAATAAATATAATAGATATGAATTTATTTTATTAATTAAAACTTAACTCTTAAGAATTTAATTAAATAATTAAAAAAAATTAAATTAATTTAATTTATATAAAATTTTGTTTTATAATTTAATTACATCATAAGATTTAAAGATATTATAACTAATTATTAATAATAAAATATGTATGATATAATTTATGTATAATTAAATATAAATAAAGTAATATATAATATTAAGGATATAATAGTAATTTATAAAATAAAAACATAGACCTATTTTTTCTCAAACTCCAAATTCCCTCAATTTTGAAGGGAAATAATATAAATTCATTTAATATTCCCTCGTCACCCTTCCCTTCCCATTCCCTTTAGAAAAAAAATTGAACTAAACAAAATAATTGTAATTTTTATTATTCTCTTTCTTCTCTTCCCATCCAAATTCCTCAAACCAAATACACCCTTAAGCAATAAGAATAAAATATTAATATATTTTTAAAAAATACTTTATAATTTTGAGATAAGTTTAAATATATTTAATAAATAATTAAAAATATTATATCAAATTATATATGTTATGATAATATCACAAATAAATGTTAATGTATTGTTATATGTTAAAAAAATAATATCACAAATAAATGTTAATGTATTGTTATATGTTAAAAAAAAAAAAAATCTATATATTATTAGTATTATTATATAATTTTAAAAAAATAAAATTGTGAATGATAGTTTGGTTTAAAAGTTTATCATATCATAATAATAAAATAAAATAAACTCAATATAATTTTATCTAATATTTGATTAAATATGATACTAATTAATCTATTGACTAAATAATCTATCAAAATAATCATAAGAATTAAAATTCAATCATTTAAAATAAACACACTCTAAAATTATATAATATCCTATTGTGTTTTAGTATTAATATATTGAGTGAAATTTTATTTGATAAATTAAAATATGGACAAAATACTCTATTCATTCAAACTGATATTTGGATGTAAATACAAATATAATTATGCAAATTTTATACAAATAAAAATATAAAATATCTTAAATAATCTTATTTGAATAAACTAAAATATCTTAAAGAGCAAACACAATATAATACTTTTAGATGTCTTTTTAGTACAAGAGAAGAATCTCTTATTCAAAAGTAAAGGTAAGACCCTTAAAAAAAAAAAAAAAAAAAAAAAACGGGAGTCCAAAATCAATAGAGAAAATCACTTCCCGGCTTTTTTGCTTAATAAGTTCTTCTTCTATCTCAAACTCGGATTAAGAAAAGTGACATTGAACTACAAATCAATCATAAGAAACAATATATATAAAAAAAAAAAAAGGACCTGCGAGAAAGAAAAAAAAGAAAAAGTGTCAAAAAGCTTTTCTTATTAATTCAAAAAATAAAATTATACAACAAACACATTTTGGAGGTTATTTTCTTATTGCCGCTTGGATCCGGCTTAATGCAATAGAGGCCAAAGCAACCGATTTTTTTCCTCCTTCAAATTATTTTTTTTCTCTCATTCCTCCTCCAAAATACTTGCCCAAACCTGTGACTTCTCTCTATCGTGGTCGCGTGGGTTTAATCGACGTTGGGGCTCAATCATCGTAGTTGTGGCCACCAATTGTCGTCGTTGTGGGCTTAATCATTGTCGCCGTATGTTTAAATTTATTTATCTGTAAGAGAAATAAGACAATACTTGATGAAAAATAACGAACAATTGATGCTGAAATTCGAATTGCATGACGACAAGACGTCTATCATCATAAGATTTTAATTCTCGGATGGAGGCGATTTCTTCTTCTATGTACAATTTCAAAAAAAATAAGATAAAATTTGTGTCCCTCGTAATTTATTTTTTAAGGGTTGAGAATTATGACACACGTGTTTTGGAGATTTTTTTTTTTTTTTTTTTTACAATGTTCAAATAGGCTTACTCTTAAATAGTTGAATAACGTGTAGTTGCAAAGCGGTATAAAATTGGTGATTAATTACCACTCCAAAGTACAATAAATCCTTTCAAATACTATCTCATTCTATTAATTTTGCATCGTTATGCTTATTTTTAAGTGGTATAATTTTGATGTGCATCCCATCTACTGTTTATAGTATTTATTTATTTTTTATAAGTAAATAATAAAATAGAATGATGAATAATTTTTTTTTTTTTATCCTTACTAACTCATGTTTTTTCTTATGCTTTTTCATATTTCTATTTTCGTCTCAATAAAAGAATAATACCCTCTCCGTTCCATTGAAAGGTTGTCATTTTTTATTTTCGTCTGTCCCAAAACAAAGTTACTATTTCCTAATTTAGTAATTGTACTACCTACCTAACATAATAAATATCCTCCACCTTACACTATATTACATAAATGTCATTCCTTTTATACTAATAGGGGTATTTTTGTATTTTTTATTACAACTCATTATAATACTAATATTAAAAAATCTACGTGTAAAAAGTAAACGACAACCTTGCACCGGGACGGATGGAGTATTTATTGTTTACACATAAATTTTTTTCATATTAATATTATTTTAGATTACAGTGAAAAAGACAAAAATATTCGTATTAATATTGTGTAATAAGATAACATTTGTATAATCTATTGAAAATTGTGAGAATATTTATTTTATTAAGTAGGTTATAATTACTATATTTAATGATATATTTATTTTGAAACATACAAAATTAAAAAAAAAAAAATTCTTCTTGTTTTAAAACGGAGCGAATATAATATTACTTAAAAAGTAAGAACATTATTTTTACTATTTAAGTAACGAATATAATTATAAAAAAATAGATAAATTAATTTTGAACATATTAAAATTATAAAATGAATTAGATAAATATATATTGTTATTTTATTCATACTTTTTTATTTATGATAATTTTATAAATTGAATATAAAGTAAAAAAATATAATTAAATATATTCTAAAATAAATAAAAAAATAATAATCATCATCTTTTGAAGTTGGTCACCTACAAAAATCATAAGTGGTGACCTGTCAATTCACTGTCTTTATAAAAATAGAATTCTATCTCGAGTGGGTGGGTCTATTTAGATACTTTTGTATACCAGAATTATAATAGGTATTACTAAATGTGATTATTACATATTTTATTCAATTCAATGCAATCCTGATATTTAAAATATGTATTACTCCCACACACACACACACACACACACACACAGCTTTGCTGTATATTATAGATACGGTATTTTAGAAGGAATATAATGAGTAGATAATTAAAAATATATTAGTGAAAATAATTATAAATTAAAATTAAGATAACTAATTAGTTTAATTAAAATTTAGAAAAAAATAAAATTAAAAGGTTTAAAATGAGATTAAAATGTGTAATTATTTTTTTAAAAAAGAAAATGACATGGTATGTGGGACGGACAGAAACGACAACGTGGACATAGTACGTGGGACGGAGGGAATATTTATTTCTTTCCGATTCTCCACCTATTTTAGAATGATCTTTCAAATTTAGTTCAATTTTTAATTTTTTTTTATCAAAATATTATTTAAATAAAAATTCAAATTAATTTTTTATTTATTTCAAACCACAATCAAATAAAAATTTATGTAATTATTAAACACAACTAATTTTCATCGAGTGGATTATTTAGCCTTTAAAAATGCTTTTTAAACCATTTGCTTCATATAGTAATCTTACAATTCATCTGTCACACGAAATAATGAAAGGCAACATACATTAGGTATATATTATAAATACATACTTTTAATTTATTATATTAAATATATATACATATAATATACTCTAAGAGACTTTTGGTACAGACTATTAGAGAATGAAATTGGAGAGAAATGAAATTGAGCAAAAAGAATGAAAATTAATTTTCAGATAAAACAGAGAATTCAGTTGAAAAATAAAAAAAAATGCAGTTACACGAATAATCAAATAAGAATAAACAATTAACCGGATAAAAAAATAATTTTAACGAATGAGAATTTATGAAAAATATTTTTGGTGACTTTTTTTTTAAAAAAAAATTATAAATTATAAACGATATTTTTTAAGATTATATTTTAGTACAATTTCTTAAAATATCGTAAAAATTAAATACTTTTAACACTAAATTAAATTTGATTTTTGTAAAATTGAAATAATATAATTTTAAAAAATTATAAAAATTAAATAGTACAAAAAATTAAAAAAAATATATACTGCAAGATCGTTTCACCCAATTTTTCTGGATATGGGAGAGCAATGAAAACAGAGAAATGAAAATAATTTATTTCTCAAGTTCTATTTCTCTAATTCAAACAAACAAGAGAAATGATATCATTTCTATTTCACTGGCTTCATTTCTCCGTACCAAACACAACCTAATATCTTAGCTCTAACGTCTCATTTATTTTTTGAATTAATCTTTAATATTAATTATTATATTAAAATGCAATACAAATTAAGAAAAAATTATAAAAATAATTTCAGTAGTATTTTATAATACTAATAGAATTATATTTTTGTAAAAAAAATTATACAAATAACGATCTATTATAGGCATATTATATGTGCATCTTTGAAAAAATAATTAAATTTAATTTTAGCAATTTAATTTTTATTTTAATATTATATTAAAAAAATCCAAACATCTACTATAAAATTATATTGAACGGATATGACAAGATTGGAAATGCAGATACTCATATTTATTTATTTTTTAGTAGCGTTAGTTTGTATATGTATTGTGCATTTAAATAATAAGTAATGAATTATAATAAAATACATTATTTAATTTTTATAGAATAATTGCAATATAAGCACTAGTCTTGCAATGGAATTTATTTTTAAATAAATAATTTTGATTTGGTGAGAATAAAATCTCAAACCTTATTTATCCTTTTTTTTTTTTTTTTTATAGCTTTCTTTATTAAGTAGTATTTGTTCTACTCTGGGGCCGTTGGAATATCATTTGCAGATGCAGCAATTCTATCAATTGCCGATTTTGGGAGTACCATTTAACACGGCCGTGTTGGTTTGTTCCCCTTCCCTTCTGGCCACCGTTGGTCTCTCTTCTTTTTCATAAATGTGAGGCCTAACCTACTCTCCACATACATTCCGCACGCTACCGGTTTTTTAGAGAGAGAGAGAAACACCGGAGTATTTGTATTTTGAGTGGGGGTTAAAGTTTGTGTCCAGTTGGTTGCTGCTATGAGCAGATTTAGATTTGGATTTGGATTTGAATTTGAGTTTGAATTTGGAGTTGGAGTTGGAGTTGGTGGAATTTGGGGGTTTGTGGTGGACTCCATCAATAATAAAGAGTGAGAATGATGTCTTCAGGGATAAATCTGGTGATGACAGTGATTGGATTCTCAGTGAGTATTCTCTTCATAGTGTTTGTGTGCACGAGGCTAATTTGTGCCAGAATTATCCGTTTCAATGCCTCCAGAGGATCTCTTTTCAGGCTACATACATCTGATCCCACCGCTGTAAGCACACTGTTTCCTCGCTTTATTTATTGTCTGTCTTCACCTAATACTGTTTCTTTTTTACCATTTTTGTTTGGTTTTAAGATTTTGAGCTCACTGGTATTCGTAGAAGAAACATGTCAATTCGATACTGTTCTTCCTTCTACTTACATCATGATTAATTCTGTTTTCGTTTAGGTTAATTAGATGTTTATCTCTCCCAGAAAACTGTAGCAAGACGACTCCTATGACTATATTTGCTCATGTCTGATACTTTTGGGTGGAATCAGATTCAGTCTCCCTTTAGATTTAGTGGAAATCATGAAAAACATCCCCTATGTTTTGTGTTTGAAATTTTTCGAATGAAAAATAGGTGTCGGATTTAATGTTATATATATATAACATTATTGCATTGTTATTTGAAAATTAATTGATCATGTTAAGTCATATATTTCATCCTGTCAATTAAAGTTCTACTCATTTTTAAAATTTTTGAAAAAAATCGGCATTGATGATATTTTTGTTCCAGCTGGAGAGGGGTCGTCATGGTGTCGACCCGCTTGTGGTGGCCAATTTTCCAACGAAAAGGTACAGAGAGTTGTGCTTTCCGGTGGAAGAAAATGCTCAGTAAGTTTTTTGGTTTATATACATTGTAGATATATATATATATACACACACATTTCTCTTCAGTTCAACAAGATGAATGAAATCCATGCACGATCGATCTAACTGCCTTTTGGCGTGCATCATACTTGAGGCATTTAGCTTTAACTAATTTAATGTGTAGCTAGGGAGTTAATTATGATGTAGTTTTTATCGGACTATTTGCTATTTGTCTGCTTATTTAAGGCCAATACTTCTTATGCTTTTGCTCTCTCTCTCTCCATAATGTATTTGGTATTTGAAAGTAGGCCAGATGGTAAAAGAATGTTTTCATAATGTTCTATGATTCTAGAGTGCTGATTTGACTATGAGTTGAAGCTCGAAAAGTATTTACGCAGCCCTGTTGAATGGTGTGATTGCTGTTGCATATTTGTAAGGCAAATGTGCAAGAATGCCCCTGATTTAGTGCATAATTTGACCTCATATTTCAACTTCTTGTTCTACTACGGCCTTGATTCATAGTTAACTGATCTTACATAGTTTGATAATCCTATCACATCCTAAGGGACAATGACCTGCTCATTCGATACCTCGAATTTATTTTGAAGATTACAATAAGATACTGAATGATTTTCACACACAACTTCTGTGGCTTTAATTTTTATGAAATTCTTCATTTTGAGTTCTTTATTTTGTTTAGCTGCAGGAGAGAAGGAAGGTACTTTTTCGATCATGTTTTTTGTCACCTTTTTTTATTAGTGCATTTTGACCAAATAAGTGTCTATTCCATGCATTCAAAAACTTTGAGATGTAGAACTGGAGTGATTAGTTTCGATTCTACCTATAACTTCAGAGTTGTGTCCTTCAATGTTACATTGTTGACGATGTTGAAAACAGGGGCAGAATTAATCAAGATTGTTTGTCCTGAATGTTCCCAAGAAAATCTTGATTCGAAATAAGAACAAATTAGTTTATCCATTACAAGTGTACTAGTTTAGCCACGTAAAATTTCACTAACTTTAGCTTGATCCTTGAAAGAGCTTTTTTTCGAACTTTTGGATGTTAATGCCTTCAATTTTGGGTTGATTTCTAATTGGTTCTGTATGATTGTTCTCTACATGTGTTGATGTTTGGTGGGTCCTAACAAGTGGTATTAGAGCCGATAGTTTCGCTAGGATAGCTTTCAATTAGTTTAATTGTATCATGTTCATTCTAATTTATAAGATTTTATGTTACAATGTTAAGTTATACTTAATTTACGATCCGTTTTCAACGGGCCGGCTCATGTATTGCTACACTCTACGTGTATCTAATTATAGGTTTCTTCCATTAGGCATGGCGAGTTTCCAACACAATTTGGATTAGAGTTCGGTCTTCATCCAACGTGACGTTTTGCAAGAAAATTGCATATATTATAGATAAGATATGGCTTTGCTTGATCCTTAGGTTGTAAGAAGGCTTATTTGTGCAAGATAGATAATAGAGAAATTACTTGAGCTACGATCGAAACATGAAACTTTTGTATTCTTCCTAGGATTTTAGAAGAATCGAAGTGACACATGCTCGGGTTGGCTTAATACTTCGACCTTTTGCATCCTTATATTGTGGAAAGAGGCGCCATTTGACATGTTCGATCAATAATCGAATCACTAAGGCTTTCATGCCCGATCACTGTCGAATTAAAATGGAATCAACTAGCTAACTACAAATTTCTTCATCATGTTGCATATCTCTTCTTTCCTTACATTTTCATTATCGAATCATTGCTGCAAATCGAATTTATTTGTGATGGGAAAGTATCTTCGAACTTTGTAGTATAGTATCTGCTCATAATCGTAGCTCTTTTGAAAACTACTATAACCTCTTCTACCGCAGGTGCACCGTATGCTTGTCTGAATATCACGACGAAGATGCGCTGCGTATCCTGCCCTTCTGTGGGCATTTCTTCCATCCAAGTTGCATCGACGCGTGGTTGCAGCAGCACTTCACTTGCCCGGTATGTCGAATTTCCCTCCGGGAGGTTCCCGAGAGGAAGTGGTTCATGCAACCGATGTTTAGCTCTGCTATCCGGTCGCAGTTCTGCATCGACTCCATTAATGTACATTACTCTCGGTGCGCGGAAAACAGCCATAGACATTTGTCGGTATCCCACCGAGCAATGGATCCACCCGGTCGAGATGGCAATTTCATCCCTGCCGTTAATCATGATCCGATGGCGAAGGATTTGGAAAATCAGAAGGTGGAGAGCTCGTCGGCGTGATAAGGCAACAGCGAGCTGCCGGAGCATCGGCAAAACTCGGCCGGAAGCCAATACATAATATTTTCCGGTGGGAACCTTAGCTTAGCTTTCTGCACATATTGCTTGTAAATGCTTGCTTCGTCTATCTTCAACTTATTTACACACTATTTACTTATGTTTTCAAATTTATTTATGATAGCAAAATTGTCTATAATTCTCTTGTAGTTTCGAAACTCAACGTAAATATCTCATTTATTTTAAAAATTATATGGTGTTTCTTTATACTTTAAAAAATATTGCATAAAACTCCACTATGGTTTTAAAACTCAACATAAATCCTCCGCCATGGCAAAACATACATATAGGAAATCATTTTCTCATCCTACAAGGGAGTTTTTACGGTGGTGGGTTTCATACAATATATTTTAAAGTATAAGGGGGTGCCATGTAATTTTTAAAGTATAAGGAAATTTTACGCTAAAGTTCGAAACTACAAGGGAGTTACGAGTAATTTTACCAATATATGCATTATTTTTTTTTAAAAAAAATCATATTATGTGTTTTTTATTTTTATTTTTAAATATTATATAAAAGTATATTACTTATTTAAAATGTATACATTTATATTATATTATATATTTATTTTTTTATTCTAACTTTCGCTCAAACTACTTTCAAAACATGTCTAAAATACATTCTTGATAATTTGACTTTGAGTTGAGTTTGTAGTCCGATTCATTAGTTGCAATGTGGCCATATATATATATATTTAAATAAAGTAAATTTGGTCGAATAAAATTCAATAATATGACGAATTTTCTTGAGTTTTTATGTAAAGCAAAGTAAAATGGTAAATGAATGAAATTAGTTATGGTGTAGAAAGTTGACTTGAATGAACAACAAACAGTAGAAGTGTGGATTTATATATCTATCTTATCTCATGTGTTTAATTTTCGGCCAACTAATTTGCATGTGAACATAAATGCCAACATTTAAAGTCGTTCAATAATTTAGCGGTGCCGATTCGTATTTTCGGTGTAATATATATATATATATATATACAGTTTTTTATATAAAAATGATTCTCAAATATACTAGTTTTAAGTAAAAACTGTGTTTTTAGTTGGCATTATTTTATTTAATTTTTTTTAGTATGATGTTTTATGAAATAAATAATGTATTCTTATAAAAATTGTAAAAATTAAATAATAAGAAAATAATTGTTTAGTGGTCACACCATGTGTAACGGGTCGGATGGCTCCTTCTCAAATACTTTTCCGTCGGTCTAGCAATTCTTCGACACTCATGAAAAATTAGCTAGTACAGTCTCACACACGAATTCAAAAGAACGCTAAGAACACAAAGTGATGCACCCAAACTTAAAGTGTGTATTAGCTCTCTGAAAGTAAAGTGAGTACAACGGACACTCTAATGGACCGGAACTAACACAGGCTAAAGTATATCTACACTCGGATAGACTCTATCTATACAAAATAAGAATGAAAATAAGCTATACAAAGAAACACGGATAAACTATGTCAATAGATAGACACCGACTTGGTCAATGGACGATCTCGGTACTTTTATAACCTTTTGGAACATTTCGAGAGGTTTTGGATTGTCTCGAGGGATATCCGCTAGCCTCCTTACTTTGGCACGCCGCAGGCCACTCCTTGGCAAGTCGCAGCGCGTTCCTCAGTGTTTTTTGGCAAAAATTTTGGTCCGGAACATTGTCCTCCACTTGAACTAGGCATTGCCCCCGATGTCTTAGAAGTCTTGAATAGAATCCTCGAATTGCCATAGGCCCGTGGTCCTCCCCCAGCTCGTCTTGGACTCAGATAATCCTCGCCATCGGCCGGGTACTTCATCGACGGTGGTCGACTCTGGTGCCAGGCCCCATTGTACGTTAAGATCTTTTCTGCCACTTTGTCAGCTCTGTTCCGCATTGGGGTTAGACATCCGTACATGTACATGAGATCCTTATGCATTCTTCGAACACGGCCAAGTCAGCATAGCTTCATGAGGATCACGTCTTCTTCTTTGGCTTCTCGGAACACCCTCTTCTGGCCCGCCCACGTCTTTACTCATTGTTGAGACTTATCCAGGTTGAATCTGACTACTCCACATGACCTTGTCAATGCTTGCTAAGGTGTAAGAGTGGGCACGATTCAGATATTTATAAATATGCAGGTATTTGGTATCTGAATCGAACCGAACTAATAACCGAAACCGCGAACTGTATTAGAACCAAAATTTTCGGTTAACCAAAAATTCCATTAACCAAAAATATTTGCAGTATTTGCAAATAATTCGAATCGAACCGAATTGAAAATAAATATATTTAAAAAATAATTAAAATTTTAATTAACTAAAAATATTTGTAAATATTCTCAACCGAACTGAACAGAAATTAATCCTAAAAAATAAATATATTCAACAAACAACTAAAAATATCCAAAATATATATAAATCATTAAAATTAAAAGATAATGCCATTAAACAATATCCACAATACCATAAACACATGCATAATTCAAAGCACACATTCAATTATCTCAAAATAAGTTTGTCTTGTCGCATCTAGTTTGTAAATATGCAGGTATTTGGTATCCGAACCGAATCGCACTAATAACTGAAACTAAAAACTGTATTCGAACTGAAATTTTCGGTTAACCAAAAATATTTGCAGTATTTGCAAATAATTCGAAACGAACCGAATTCAAAAATAAATATATTTAAAAAATAATTAAAAATTCAATTAACTAAAAATATTTGTAAATATTCTCAACCGAATCGAACCGAAATTAATGCTAAAATAAATATATTCAACAAACAACTAAAAATACCCAAAAAATATATAAATCATTAAATATTAAAACATAATGCCATTAAAAAATATCCACAATACCATAAATACATGCATAATTCAATTATGTCAAAATAAGCTTGTCTTATCCGACCTAATTTGCAGGATATTAGGTTCGGTCGGGGATTTACCCAATGTGCATTCTAGGGTAGCGGCTGCGGGTTTTCACGTTATTTAAAAAAAAATCTCAAAATAAGGCCATGAAAGCATAAACACATGCATATGGACCATATCCAAATTCAAATTCATGCATCCACATGAAAATCCCAAAATCATACATATCCATAAAGCCATTAAAAAAAAACATTCGTAAGTCAGCAAATCATTTAAAGGGAAACCCGTAATGATTATCGATACCTGTCTTTGTTTCTCCAATTACATTTTCTTGAATAGTTCTCCACTAATCTTCCAATTCTATTAAATCGATTCATAAAATATATTGAATTATATAAATTATAATTAAAACAATAATCAATATCCAATTATCAATTGACAAATACATACTTGTTAATGAACTAAATTAATTAGTATATAGAAAAAAAACTTACCAAGAATTATTTGATAACATCGATGCTATTCCTCCAAATCTAAAATATGTGCTTCCCATGCTATAAAAAGTTAACAAACAAATAAAAATATATTTATTAGTGACAATTAAATCGAATTATATAATAGAACACATATTTACATGCTACAAAAGCAATAGAACTCTTTTTCATCCACAATTTGTGGGTTATCTTTTCAAATCCAATCTTGTGTACATATGAGTGCTTCGATCAACTTTGGGGTAAGAGAACTCCAAAAGTGATCTATAACACGTCCTTCGGTACTAAAAGCATATTCTGAATTGAAGCAACTGTAGATATAGGAATGACTAATACATCTTTCTCCATGCGAGAAAGTGTTGGATATTTTGACCCTATTGTTTTCCATCAATACAAGATATCAAAATTTAACTGGGTCATCTTTTCACATTCATCCTCCAAATACCTATTCAACTCCGACTTCAACGCACCATGCACTTCAATTGCTTCAAATTCTTCCAACTTCTTTTGCAACTTCTACAGCGACCCTGGCTAGATGAATCAACTTCAATGTTAGATATTGAAGAAGAACTATATTCATCGAACATTATCCTCACAACATCCCAAATTGACTAAAGCAACTGCACGCGTGTCGCACAACTCCAAAATAAATGTGAATTCCTACGTCACAGAAATATGCAAAATGTAGTAGTATTGTGAGTAGGGTCGTCTCTGCAGGGAACAATAACAATATTGAATATTTGGTTATTTATAATTATAATATATATATATATATATATTGGGGAAATTTTGATTATCATAAGGGGAAAAATAAATTCCTCAATTAAAAAAAATAAAACTAAAATGCAAAACGATTGATTTACCAAATATGATTAAACTCTAGCATAGACATGAATTTTCTGTTCGGGATATAAATTTGTTCATCGACTAAAAATCAAGTTCATTAACTAGTTGGATAAATTGGTTATAGTTGATCTACACGTGTCCACAACCAACCTTTCCTTACTTTGTCGATAGCTAAGGTACGAGCGTTAGCTATTTTCCTAATCGAGTGAGAATTATAGGTACGATGTTTTACTGACTCGATAACATTAAGGACTAGAAAGACCCAATTCAATTTAACAAAATTCCTACGCGGATTTGTTCAAAATTGATTTTAATTCTTCCATAGAGTATTCTTCCTCTAGGTTGCTACACTAATTAGAAGATTACACAATTACGGATGTCGATCTCCAATATAGCTATAAAATCTTAAGTCAATACATGTGCAATAATCAATTTATGATTTCTAAACTCGTAAATTAGAATAATTAAAAATATCCAACATCGATGAACACCAAATTCAACCCAAAACCAAGTCTCACAAATTCAATTCCAAACATCAATTCACACCTACGCTAGAAATGAAATTACTCGTAATCCATAGAAATTGAAAACACATAATAAATTAAAGAGTTCATCATGCCTTCAATTTAAGAATCGACAACAAACCAATTCTAAGAATAAAAAAAGAAATGCCCGGAAGTTTGGTATGTGTTGCTCCTCTAGATTCTCTGCGTTCTCCCGTGCTCTCTCTTTCTTCCTTCTCTAGAAGTGATGTTGTGGTGAAGAACGTGGTAATCTTTTTCTCTTTCTCTTCTTCAATTGTAAATCGTGCTTCTGAATTCTCATCACATAATCCCCTTTGTAATTAGATCCCCATTGCAATTAAACTCCATAACAGTCTCCTAATTGCCAATTAACCCCGGAGGCTTCATTGTAATTTCCACATTTTCCATATTGTGTTGCGTGATCACGCTTAAAGTCTTCGTGTATTCTGTTTTTTCTCTCAAAT